ACCTTACAGTTTATACTACTACTACTATTAATAATAATAATAATAATAATAATGCTAATAATAACAATTTATAACAGCAACAATTATAAAAAGAACAACAATAATAACAAGAACAACACAACAACACCCATAGGTTAATTAAAACTACCTTTCAATTACAACCAAACCAGATCACATCCCAGGTCAGAAAAGGTCATTCATCCCTATCCTTAATTAGCCCACGAACAGGTAACTCAGATAATCATGCTCTAGGGATGACCTATTATACTCGTAGGTCATTATGTTCGTGTAAGACTCATCTAATGGTCTCTATAAAGGTCAGATGTACTTAGATGATTAATGAGGAGATTATACGATGGTGGGGTCGTCAGGTCAAGTTAGGTTTGGTTTGGTTTGATTAGGTTGGGTTTGGTTAAGTTAAGTTAGGTCAGGCTAGATTATGTTTGATTAGGTTATGTTAGATTAGATTAGGTTAGGTTAGGTTAGGTTAGGTTAGATTAGGTTATTGTATTTAAGAGACGCGGGTTGTGTTTTAGTGTCTTATGTTAATTATGTTTTTGATGTTCATTTTTAACGTAATTTAATATTTAACACTTAACTATTAACTCCCTGCGTCACTTAATGCTAAATTACAACCAATAAGGAAATAGTTTGTGAGCATAAGTTTAACCGAAAGTGAATTAAAAAACTTGTTGTTGGTTTTTCTGGTAAGATATGAGTTCAGGAAAGTTTTAGTTTTATTTTTCTTTACTTGATTCTAGTTTAAAGTTCAAGAAAGGGTGTTTGTCGGGGGGGGGGTAGTTGGTTTGGTTAGTTTAGAATAAGGTATATCAGTTTACCTGAAGATTAGGCACCCCAGCTTATTTCACCTGATGATTAAACACCCTAACAATAACCTAACCTAACCTAACATGACCTTTCCTGGCCTTTCCTGACCTCAAACCTTTCAGATATTCAATAATAATAAAAAACGCATCTTATCTCCCTCATTCCAGTCAGGTTGAGGTATAAAGCTTTTAATGTATCAGCTTGTTTGTTTGTTTGTTTGTTTGAAAAGTTTTAACCCTTGTTAAGCCTCCTGACCTCCCTAGCGAGGTCATAAAGACGTAAAGATAGTGAAGCAAGTTTTTTTATGGTGAAGAAAGTTACAGTGCTTTGTGGTGAGAGAGAGAGAGAGAGAGAGAGAGAGAGACTGTATCTATCTATCTCCATTTCTCCCTCCATCCCTCCCACACACATTCTCTCTCTCTCTCTCTCTCTCTCTCTCGGCTTCTTTTTATTAGAGGAAACTTGAGTGAGGAGACGTGTAAGGGGAAAGTTGACTGATTAGGGTGGTTAAGAGAGAGGAGTGGGGTGAGAGGTGAGAGATTGAGAGGTGAGGGAAAGAGAACGTGAAAGGTAACGGAGGGAGAGAGAGAGAAGAGAATGATAGATGATAGGTGAGAGGTGAGGTGAGAGAAGGAGTGAGAGGTGAGGTGAGAGAAGGAGTGAAAATTGAGGTGAGAGAAGGAGTGAGAGGAGAGGTGAGAGAGAGTACTAGAGGGCATCACCAGTGCTATTTCAGTCAACATTGAGTGATATGAGTCCCTGTCTCTGTTGCTCCTGTCATAACGAGGTTGAGCTTGGCTATAGATATCTCTCCTCCTCCTCCCTTCCTCCCCCTTCCTCCTTTACCCCTTCTCCTCCTCCTCCTCCTTTCTCCCTGTCCCCTTTCTTTCCTCCCTATCCCACTCCCACTTCACCCTTTTCCTCCCCTTCTTTCCTCCTCCTCCCTTCCCTCCTCCTCCCTCCTACTCCTCTCCCTGACCTCCCCCCTCCTCCCTCCTCCTCCCCTCTCCCTGACCTCCTACCCCCCCTCTCCTCCCTCCTCTCCTTCCTGACCCCTCCCTCCCTCTACCCCCCTCTCCTCCCTCCCACCCCCTCCCCTGACCCCCTCCCCCTCCTCCTACTCCTCTCCTCCCTCCCTCCCACTCCCCTCCTACCCCTAGCCCCCCCTCCCTCATTCTCTCCCCTCCTCCTCCTCTCCTGATTCCCCCCTGACCCCCTCCCCCCTCTACCCCTCCCCTCCCTTCCTTAGAACCCTCTCCTCCCTAGAGTGAGAGAAGAACTAGAGAAGTAGAGAGAGGAGAGACCCTCCCTCACGCTGTGTTAATTCGAGTCAACACAAAGAATAATTCGTATCTATTATCAGTATATCCACTTTACAGCACAAACACAGCCGGGGTGTTGTGCGCTGTGTTAAGGGAGGGAGAGGAGATGGAGGACGAAGAGAAGGAGATAGAGGAAGATGAAAGGGAAGAAGAAGGAAAAGAAGGAAGAAAAAAAAAACAAGAAACCCCCCACACGTGTGAGAACTGCATCCTGGGGTCAGCTGATGGACAACAACAACAACAAAGGAGCCACACACTCTTGAATCTATCTCGCCTCCCTTCATACCCCCAGCAGCCAGACAGACGGGATACAGTGATACATCCCCACCGTCGACCTGTTACTGTATTCGACCTTCTCCTCCTGTACTCGACCTGCTTCTGTATTCGACCTGCCATCCATACCCCCAGCATTCAGATAGACAGACAGGTTACAGTGATATATCCCCACCGTCGACCTGTTACTGTACTCGACCTTCTCCTCCTGTACTCGACCTGCTTCTGTATTCGACCTGCCATCCATACCCCCAGCATTCAGATAGACAGACAGGTTACAGTGATACATCCCCACCGTCGACCTGTTACTGTATTCGACCTTCTCCTCCTGTACTCGACCTGCTTCTGTATTCGACCTGCCATCCATACCCCCAGCATTCAGATAGACAGACAGGTTACAGTCCCATTATCCTGCTCTTGTGTTCGACCTTTTTCCTGTACTCGACCTGCTCCTACTATATTCGACCTGCCCTTGTACTCGACCTGCTCCTTATGTATTCGACCTGCCCTTGTACTCGACCTGCCAGGGATCCTACAGTGTGTATAACTTTCTAAAGGATATCTTGATTTTCATATTTATTGAAGGAATTGTTTTAGGGTGTGTTCAATAAGCTCTCTCTCTCTCTCTCTCTCTCTCTCTCTCTCTCTCTCTCTCTCTCCTCCCCCCCACTCACAGATACCAACAGCTATAGCTCCCTCCAAATACCTCTCCTCCCACTCAACTCCGCGTCTGAGTGCCACTTGTCAGCCTCAAGTACTCGTGTGTGTCAGCTTGGAGTAATACTTGCAGGGTAAATAACACGTCTTACTTTTATCTATTTTTGTAAAGACTTTTTGGTTGAATTTTACATACATACGTACATACACACACATAAACTAAACACACACACACACACACACACACACACACACGTACACGTACACGTACAGGTCGTCTTAATAATAAGTTATAGACGGTAGGGGATGAAAGCGAGATGGTGATTGGTCAGTTGGCAATCTGATCTCCACCAATAGCAGACCCTGGGCTCTCGTTAAGATATCACACCTGTACATCATCGCCGGACCCTCGTTATCTGGCGGGTTAGATGGGCCCCAGGCATAATAGATCCCTCCCATTAGGACACGGACCTACCAGTATCGGGGCCCATTAGGACACGGACCTACCGGTATCGGGGCCCCACGGACCTACCAGTAGGACACGGACCTACCACGGACCTACCAGTCGGGGCCCAGTTAGAACACGGACCTACCAGTATCGGGGCCCAGTTAGAACACGGACCTACCAGTATCGGGGCCCATTAGAACACGGACCTACCAGTATCGGGGCCCATTAGAACACCGGACCTACCAGTATCGGGGGACCCAGTTAGAACACGGACCTACCAGTATCGGGGCCCATTAGGACACGGACCTACCAGTATCAGCCCATTAGAACACGGACCTACCAGTATCACCCATTAGAACACGGACCTACCAGTATCGGGGCCCATTAGAACACGGACCTACCAGTATCGGGGCCCAGTTAGAACACGGACCTACCAGTATCGGGGCCCAGTTAGAACACGGACCTACCAGTATCGGGGCCCAGTTAGAACACGGACCTACCAGTATCGGGGCCCAGTTAGAACACGGACCTACCAGTATCGGGGCCCATTAGGACACGGAACCACAAGTATTCGGGGTCTATTAGATCTGGGGCCCACCCAAATTTAAGGGCCCGTTTGACCATTGACTCTATCGTTAAAGCGGTGGTAGACGGTCGGTGGTTATGGGCAGCCTCTTGTGTTATCCATACCATTAATCTCCTCTTGTGGTTATTGCGTTGTGGTGCCGGGTGATGGTGTCTGTCTGTCTGTTTTTGTTTCTGTTTGTCTGTCTGTCTTATCTGTCTGTTTTTGTCTGTCTGTCTGTTTTGTCTGTCTATCTGTGTTTTTGTCTGTGTCTATTTTTGTTTCTGTTTGTCTGTTTTTGTTTGTACGATGATATTAACCCTTTCAGTACGAGAATTTAACCATTTGAGTACTGTGATTTAACCCTTTGAGAACTGTTTTAACCCTTTGAGTACTGCGAGTTAACCCTTTGAGTACTGCGCGTTAACCCTTTAAGTACTGTGATTTAACCCTTTAAGTACGCTAAACTTAACTAAATTCAAACAAACTTAATAATTTATATATTAAAATAATTCTCCACTAACTTATAATACTTATCAGTTAAATATCACACTTTATAAGTAATCTGTAATAGTCTTAGTAAACCCTCCCTACTTTACACACTTATATGGAGTCATCATCTACTTACAATCATTATTTACTTAATAATGGAATTTTCTTTTCACTTAAATGTCAGTTTATAAGTAAGTTGTAGAAGTCTTAGTAGTGGTTCATACTTAACACACTTACTTACCAGGGATCGCCATTTACTTATAACCAAACTTAAAACTATTTCTTCACTCGAATGCTTAACACTTAAATACCACAGATTATAAGTTGTAGTAATTTTAATAGTAACCTTCACTTAATTACTTACCTGGGGTCAATTTCTACTTACAGGTGAGTGAGAGGTCAGAGGTCAACTTACCCTGGCGTAGAGGAGAAAGATGATGTTGACCTTGAAGGGGGGGGTGCTGGAGAAGGGGGGAGGGGTCACCTACGAGGGTCAGCGAGCCTCCTCCATGACGTCAGAGGTCAAATTCGATGACCTTGTTTGACCCAGTATCACCCAGGTAGGTAATCCAAGATGGTGTCCTTTTCTCTTTATCACTTTTCTCTTGTTTTTAAGGTTTATTGTTGTTTATTTTCTCTTGTTTACTTGTTTACTTTTTAGTCATATGTTTGTCTATCACTTGTTTGGGTTTTCTCTTTATCGTTCTATGTCTTTTGTTATTGTGTTTGTTCAATTATTCATTCGTTATCATTTTTATCAATCACTATTTTGTTTTCTCTTGTTTTCTATTTGTTGGTTTTGCTTTTGTTTTCTTTGTTTATTCTTTAGTTATCAATTTTTTTTCTATCTACGAATTATTGTCTCCAGTGTTTATTCTTAATTATCTGATTTTCTTCACTTATCCATTCGTTAACTGTTTATTTTTTCACTCACTTTTAGTCACTATTTCTCTTGTCTTTAATTTCTTCTTTATTATCTCTATTTTCTTCACTTTCTTATTCGTTATTAGTTTATTTTCCACTGATTAATTTACTTTATTATTATTATTTTATTATTATTTATTTTTCACTATTGTATTTTTTCGTCAACAATTGATAGCATTTTACACACGCGGTCCCTGGAGGCAGTCACTCTATGGTTACCAAAATACAAAGAAATACAGTTTTTATGTGTATTTCTGTCACGTATTTTGTATTTTTCTGTATCACTTTAAAACACTTCACTGTATATTGGTTTTGTATTTGTATTGCATTTTCATTCTATTTAAAGGGAATGTTTTGTATGTCTGTGTTTACCTGACGACACACAGACAGACAGACCCACACGACGGGGGGTTTTATACCTGTATATCTTTTAGTTAATTAGTCATTTACCTGGAGGGAGAAATCTTAATTGAGTTAATATTATTGTAACTTTAAAATATTTCATAAATTATTTTACAAAGTGAAAAAAAATATCGATTATTTGGTTTAAAAATACGATTTAAATCACAATACGGAATACGAATATTACATAAGACGTATTTAAAGAAAGGAAAACAATATATTCTTCTTCTTACCAATAAAATGATGAGGAAATATTAAATAATTGATGGGAATGAGACAAATTGATAAAATAATTTGGTAGGGAGCGAGAGAGAGAGAGAGAGAGAAGGCGAGAGGTGTGGGTTTGGACGCTGGTGGTCAGGAAGTGTCATCCCAGAGGCTGCTACACCTTCTTATATAGGCTCACTGACCGATGACCGACCATCCTCTCTCTCTCTCTCTCTCTCTTCCATCATCAGTCTTGTCCACCCCCCCCCCCTTCTCCCTACAATTGCCACTGCTTCTAGTCCTCTTCTTCCTCTTTCCCCTCATCTCCCTCTTCCTCTCCTTCATTAGTACTCCCTCTTCCTCTTCTTCCTCTTCCTCTTTCTCTTCCTCTTCCTCCTCCTCTTCCTAACCTAACCTAACACTCCTTGTATAAATACAGTATATAGACAGTGCCACTCCCAAGAAAGTACCTCAGACGTATTCCTTGTATGTATATGCACAGTGCCACCACCCAAGAAAGTGCATATAGATAGTACCACTACCCAAGTACATGTGGACAGTGCCACCCCAAAATACATATGGACAGTGCCACTCCTAAGTATATATGGGCGGTCCCACTCCCAAGAAAGTACATCAGACGTATTCCTTGTATGTATATGTACAGTGCCACCCCAAAGTACATATGAACAGTGTCCCCTCCCAAGAAAGTACAAATGGACAGTGCCACGACCTAATTCCACACGCCGACAGAAGACATCACCAATGGCTGTGTGGCCCAGATTCATCGAACTAATGGACCAATTGACGAAGCTTCGATACCCGCCACCTAACCCCCCCCTTACCCCCCCACCTCCCTACCCCCCACCTCCCCCCCTTCTCCCCCCAGCTAACATCACTCCCCTAATTATGTCATCAGATAATCTATAATTCAATATATAATTTTTAATGAAGAAATACCCGACATGGATAGCTAATTCGGCAAAGGATTCTATACCGCTGGGCTAATGGTGGTTGTGTGTGTGTGTGTCATGGTTAGGTTAGGTTAGGGTAATGAATCAATCTCTCTCTCTCTCTCTCTCTCGCTTAAGAGAATCTGGTCACGCCCTCAATGGCCAGTTGACAGAGGAGGGACGATAGTGAGGAGATGGTGGTAGTGGTGGTGGTAGTGGTGGTGATGGTGGTAGTGGTGGTAGTGGTGGTCGTGGTAGTGGTGGTGATGGTGATGGTGGTGGTGGTAGGAGCAGTGGTGGTGGTTGTGCCACCCATACAGACACAAACAGAGACAGACACCCGTATAGAGAGAGACAGAACAAACAGATAGACAGACAGACAGACAGAAAGACACACTGAAACCCACATAGGCAGAAACCTAGACAGACAGACACACAGACAGACAGACAGACAGACAGGACACTCCTAAAAGCGTCACCATCTGACCGCCTGTTGCATGTCACCCAACCCAGACCATTAACCATTAGTGGTGGTGGTGGTGGTTATTGATGGCTATTGATGATCTATAAATGGTAAATGTCTACCTCTCTCTCTCCTCTCTCTCTCTCTCTCTCTCTCTCTCTCTCTCTCTCTCTCTCTCTCATTTCACTTCCTACCCCTTCTTAACCCCCCCGTCTCCTCCTCCTCTCTCCTTTCTCTCTTTCCTCTTCCTCCTCCTCCTTCTTCTTCTACCTCATTAATCTCCTCCTCCTCCTCCTCCTACTACTACTACTACTACTACTACTACTGCTACTACTACTACTACTACTACTACTACACCCCTTAATCCTCCCCCTAATATCGGAAAGTCTCGATAACGGATAATCTCTCAACTTTCCTGATTGGAATTGGCAAAAGTTAATTGCCAAGTTACGTAAAGCTTCCCGATTGGCTATTCCTCAAGACCTACTTCCCGATTGGCTATTCCTTGAGACCTACTTCTGATTGGCTATTCCTCGAGGCCTTTTTCTGATTGGTCACCCAGCAGAGTCCTTTATTCCATGATTGGCTAGCAAGGTGAACCCTGTCATCTGTGATTGGTCAACACGGTACGCCCTGCCGTCTAATTGGTGGAGGACGTGACAAGGAGTGACACATGGCAGTGACGCGTGACATTGAAACGTGGCAAAGAGTAACACGTGACACATAACAATAAGACGCGTGACAGAGTGACACACAACACAGAAACACATGACAGGGAATGAGTAACGCGTGACAAGGAGTGACGCGTGACAAGGAGTGACGCGTGACAAGGAGTGACGCGTGACAAGGAGTGACGCGTGACAGGAGGTAACGTGACAGGGTAACGCGTGACAGGAGTAACGCGTGACAAGGAAGTGACGCGTGACAAAGAGGTAACGCGTGACAAGGAAGTAACGCGTGACAAGGAGTGACGCGTGACAGGAGTTGCAGGCAGGGTAACGCGTGACAAGAAGATGACGCGCGTGACAGGGTGACGTGACAAGGAAAGTGACGCGTGACAAGAGGTAACGCGTGACAAGGAGAGTGACGCGTGACAAGGAAGTGACGCGTGGCCGAGTAACAGCGTATTAAGGGTGCGTGACAGAATAACGCGTGACAAGGTAACGGCGAGGCCGTGCGTGGTAGGCGCGTAGGCGCGTGGCCAGGTAGGCGCGTGACAAAATAACGACGGGGTAGCGCGTGACAAGGAGTGACGCGTGACAAGGAGTGACGCGTGACAAGGAGTGACGCGTGACAAGGAGTGACGCGTGACAAGGAGTGACGCGTGACAAGGAGTTACGCGTGACAAGGAGTAACGCGTGACAAGGAGTAACGCGTAACACCGATGATCATGGTTCATATGGCGGCACTCACGAAATGCCACAGGTAAGCGAGCCAATTAGACTCTAGCGGCACCAATTACCGGCCGCTTCTCAGTCGATACGTTATTATTATATATATATTTTTCATGTCAGATTCACGTCCGGTTTATTTTGGGTCGTAAATTACTGATTTCTTATATATCTTGTGGGTCATGTTATTGATGTCGTTGTTATTATTGTTATTGATGTTTGTTGTTATTGTTATTGGTGTTTTTATTGTTATTGTTGTTATTATTATTATTGTTATTATTATTATTATTATTATTATTATTATTATTATTATTATTATTATTACTGTTATTGTTGTTATTAATTATTATTATTATTATTATTATTATTATTATTATTATTATTATTATTATCACTTCATAATATTCTCGTTCAGGTCTTGTCTCCGTGCTGTAATGAAGTCGTTTTCTGTATAACATATTAGCAATTGGCAGTTAAGAGACTCGTTTCACCCGTCTCGTTCCAGTTGTCTCGTCTCACCCATCTCGTTCCACCAGTTTCGTTCCAGCCGTCTCGTTCCAGTCGTCTCGTTTCACCCGTCTTGTTCCAGCCGTCTCACTTCACCCGTCTCGTTTCACCCGTCTCTTTCACCGTCTCGTTTTACCCGTCTCGTTTCACCCGTCTCTTTCAGCCGTCTCGTTCCAGCCGTCTCGTTTCACCCGTCTTGTTCCAGCCGTCTCACTTCACCCGTCTCTTTCACCGTCTCGTTTCACCCGTCTCTTTTTACCCGTCTCTTTCAGCCGTCTCGTTTCAACAGTTCAGAGTTTCAGGCTCGTTAACTGGCTTCAGTGTTTGTGACAGTAAAATATCAGACTTCAGAAAACTAAATACAGTTCTGAACTCATTGGCCTATTTCTGAGTATGAATGAATGTAATAATAATAATAATAATAATAATAATAATAATAATAATAATAATAATAATAATTAACGGTTTATTGAAAGGGCATGGCAGCCGGAAGGCTGAAAATATAGTTACATAATTGGGGAATGGGTCTCTTGATTTACAAATAATATACAAGTACAATATATATATATATATATATATATATATATATATATATATATATATATATATACTATATATATATATATATATGTATGTATGTATGTATGTATTAATGTATATATGGATGTATGAATGTATGTACAATATGTGTGTATGCATATATGTATGTATGTATGTATTTATGTATGTATATATGTATGTATGAATGTATGTATGTACTGTAAGTATGTATATATGTATGTATAGATAATGACTACAACATCACTACAAACAATAATAAAACTTACTCATATATACACTATGCAGTCTAAATGCTTAACTACCATTAACCACGTTGTTTGGGGTGAAGTGAGAAGTGAAGTAAGAGGTGAAGTGAGGGACCGTCCTGGGAACTCGCTAAGTGTTGACGTGTTGTTTGAGGCAAGTGAGGATATATTCTCCCCCCCTCTCCTCCCCCCCTCTCCTCCCCCCTCTCCTCCCCCTCCCTTCCCGTCTTCCCTCTCATCTTCCTCTTGTCCTTCTTCTGTCCTCCTCTTCCCCTCCCTCTCTCTTCCCTCTACACCCCCGTCTCTCTCCTCCTCCTCCTCCTATATCTCTCTCATCTCCTTCCGCCTCTCTTCCTTCCACCTTTACCGCGTCTCCTCTCCTCTCCCTCTCTCTCCTCCCTCTCTCCTCTCCCTCCTTCTTCAACCCTCTCGCCCTCCCACCTAGCCCTTCCCCTCCTCCCCTCCTCCCACCTCCCCTCCCTCCCCCTCACCCCCACCCTAGCCAGCTGTCTAAATCACCCCGAGTTGTTTCCATGTTTTCACCTAAGATATAAACTATCTCGGCGCTGACCTCAATCAGCTGACCTGACCTGAATAATTATGACCTAAATTAATGAGTGGTGCTTAGCCTAACCTAACCTAACCTAAACCTAACGTAACCACAACCACAATTATCCACCCCAACTACGCCCTGGTGATGGTGATAATGAAGGGAGAAGGCAGGTCTATAGCTCACACACACACACACACACACACACACACACACACACACACACACACACTACTTGGTCAAGGTAACATTTTCTAATATATTTTTCTATAATTGAATTTACCTGAATATTGACACGATTACCTGAGTTGATGTGATTTACTGTACTGCTTCGAGGAGTTGATGAGACGGTATTGATCTGTGTGTGTGTGTAATGGTGATGAATTACGACTTGTTTCTGTGCATTGGATACTTATTTCATTGGATTCTGAAGTACATTAGGCCAAGTGTATTATGTAATTCAGTAGTTATGTGTGCGTGTGAGAGAGAGAT